TTACGTACTAGGTTGGCACTAAAGATATCGTATAGACTATTTTTAGAAGAAATCTACACTAAAGGATTACTTAAGTAACAATTAAACGACGTTAAGTCGGTTAATGTTTCATTCCTTTTCTGAGAAATGGTAGAATAAATTACTCGTAAACTCTCATCTCGACAGCAATCTTTATAAACTACAATAAAGTAAAAGAAACGTACACGTACTAACGTTGTAAATGATAGTAACGTTGAAAATGTGGCGTGAAATACTCCTCGGTACGTTTTGAGATATCCATCGTGACGAATTGCGAAATTTATATACGCCCAAAGGGATTACGTATACGTGACCAGAAAAGTTACAATAACTTACTACATTATATCCCTACCTTTACATTCTTGTGAGAATAAAACTCTTCATAACTACCATGAATTACTTTTTAAATAAATTAATACAACTAGCTTTAAAATACGAAAAAACAAAAGTGAGTAACCTATGTGTTTTTCCAGACTATCAGAGGATAGTCACGTCAAATTTCATCGAAATCCGTTCAGCCGTTTAGGCTACAAACTCTAACAAACATCCATCCATCTAAACTTTCGCATTTGCAATATTAGTAAGAAGTAATATTTAGTCATTGTTTGTTAAGATTACAATACTGATCTCATAAATCAGAATAACTAAAGATTTGAAACCATCAAAATCGCTACCAGTACGATTCAATTAAAAGTTTTATTAATTTAGCAAAGAATCACTCGCGAAACTCTTGTTCTTCGAAACGATTACGTCGTCGAAGAAAATTCATCTCATAAAATACAGAGATAAAGGCCGGCGGCGCAACCCGAACGGGGATCTTATTAAATATACTGTAATTGTTTGAGCTCGCAGGATGGAGATTAAATGGAAAACTTTTAAATTCTCGCTTTTCAAAAACATAAAAGGCAACGTCAAATTGGATAAATGTGATTTTTATAACGAATAGAGCACTTTGAAGTATAAAAAAAATTGTAATTGCTTTGAAATCACTTGGAATAACGTTGTTCTTTAACACATCTTTTTAAATGCCTAATCAGATGCTATAATAGATCCTTGAGACAGACAAGTTCTGATATCTTAGTACTTTGAATTAATACTACTCATATTATTTAACTAAGAGGTCACATTAAGAGTTATTGTTTCATTTATTTTGCATTCCTTTCTTTTTATTAATCTAATTTCATTTACTTTACATTAACAAAACCAATTGCCCTTCATATATCACTATCATAACAACCATTTAATGAAAAAAATGTAAACGTAAACCGAGTAATAAAATAGTTAAAACAAAGAATTGTAGTCGAGTTTAATTATTCAGAGTACACGGTACAAATAAATGGAGTCGTAATAAAAACGGGGCACGCTATTAGTTTGCACAAGGAGGCGATTAGTTCACAAAGTGGGGCTGTGCAATTAGCGGGCTAGCCCCGGGCTGCCCGCCTGGTATTCACGTTACAACATTCAATAATTAAATACTACACTATTATATGACAAATTATATGAATAAATTAAAGATTTGATATTGTCATTTATAAATGTTATGTCAAGGTTATATTATTGTAAAACATTTGTAAAATCTTAAGCTTATTTTGATTTCTTTTGGATTCTTTACCTCTTATGAAACAATATTAAATTATTGCGTATCATAGGTTTTCGAATTAGTTTAATTAACGGTTAAGATTAACCTTCAAGAAATTCTTATATTTAGTAGTAAAATCAAGACTGACTTTTAATTTAATGTTCATACTTTTAATATCAAATTAATTTAATGACGTGGCATTTTAAAAAAGGTTTTCTTTTTTAACGTTAGTTGATGCGTCTTGGGAGTACCAGGATTACATAACAGGAGAGAAGTAAAAGATTGCAACAGTAATGTAGCGAACGCTTCATGGCCCGCGAAGTGCGGTTTTAAAAATTTAAAAGCGGAGTTACGCTCGCCGTTGCTTTGTGTTTGCTAGTTTTAATGCACGGACGGTTCGTAAAACATTTGTAGAGCGAAACGTTCGCCTCCAAGCGTTTCCACGTTTCAAACAATAACCGACCCTTGTTGCCGAATCGAAACACTGAATAATTGTTAATCTATTTCTGTTTGTTTGTGCGCCTTTGTGCACTATTCCACGTATTAGAGTCACTATGGATATTTTAATATTGTTAACACACATTGATTGTCTATTTCCAATTCTGACTACACAAACTAACGGTATAATAAAATAACTTTGGACGTTATTGAACCGATTTATAATATCAATTTTTCTGATCAAAATGACTATATTTATAATGCAAATAAAGTCATTGATTACGGTGAAAATTAATCATACTAATATTATAAATACGAAAGTTTAGATGAATGGATGTTTGTTAGAGTTTGTAGCCTTAACAGCTGAACGGATTTTGATGAAATTTTGTATAAATGTAGAGGATGGTCTGGAAGAACACATAGACTGCTCACCTTTGTTTTTTTTTTCATACAACGCGGACGGAGTCGCGGACGAAAGCTAGTAAACTACAAATCACTTAAACATTAAAAGCTGATTTGTATCGATACGAATAGCGAAACTCCGTAATGCCAATAAAATATAAAGAAGTAATTACGTAAAGGAGGCCGTCGCGTCGGGCAAGCGTCGGGCGCTCTGAGCAGATTGTTTTCTAAGATAACAACAGCTAATAGATGAGATGGATTTTATCTGCGGCGATACACTAATTGCGTTTTGTATCTATGTTTTCATTCGACCAGCATTATCATGATTTAGCATCGAAAGCATTCTTTATCGCAACAACAAAGAGCAAAATCATGATGACAGGTGCACATTAAAGGCGCCATGTTTATTTCATGATTTTATCACTGATTAAAAAAAAGATGTATGTTGTAATGCAACTGGCCAGTACATAAATTACACTACGTTTTGTAAAAGTTATGAAAAATCAAATCACTAAACGGTAACCCTTCAACTGTAATTATAAAAGGAAGTTTTTATAAAATGCATTTAAAATTACATTTATATTTTTGTTTCTTAAGACTTTAAACGTTGAAGTTATGAAACAGACGCGCTCTGCCATTGTTCCACAAACCTCGTAATTTATTTTTACCCGCACGACCACCCGCTGTTGAACATTTTGTAGGTAGCCAACAACGGTATTAATTTTTCTCGATATCACATGAAATATAACATTGTAAAACATAATATCAAAGTTAGAAAGATATATGATATCTATAATTTGACGTAATGACAACAAAAGGCGCGAATACCCCAAATTAGGTACATTTCCCCTGTCCTTTTTAGGGCATTTAGCACAAGATTATTTCTGGAAACAGAGCGTTACGTCGGGACGTGTTGCTCTGCGTTGCTTCAAATATAAATTACATCGAGGTTATACTCCCAGTGGAGTGGAACATGCAGTTAGCAGTCGCAGCCGTGTGCAATCACCGGGTATTTTGCATCCCCACTGTGTGCAGCGTTCCCTCGCAATTTCCTGGGCACACTGTAATGCAAATAGTCTCATCTAGCGGAACAACCTCCTTAGTTTTTTGCTCGCCTAGTACTTACAATGACAAAACAGAAATAACCTCAATTTATTAAATAAAAAAATAGACATCAAACCGTCTAATACTTCTATAAGTACTTCTAGTAAGTCAGGAAAATATTAAGTAATAGCTTCCGCCCACGACTTCGTCCGCATGTAATAAAAAAAAATCAAAAGTGAGTAGCCTATGTGTTTTTCCAGACTACTACTACACCTACGCCAAATTCCTTGGAGATCCGTATAGTAGTTTAGGCTAGAAACTCTTACAAACATCCACCCATCCATCCATATATCAAGACTTTCGCATTTATAATATTAGAAAGATAAAATGTTTTCCCTACAATGTGGATTTAACAATTCATTTTCCACCAAAAATATCTCGAATAGCAGTTATAAACAACGAAAAGCTATTACAGAGCAGGTTTATGTCGCCGCGTCGACTGTCTCTCGGCTGTTCATGTGCGCTCGGAGACAATAAAGCGACGGCAATAAACCCCACAGCCGACGGCGACGCGCCTTTATCTACACTGGAATGAATCAATCAGCCGTCAAACTTGCCATCGTCTTTATCGCTTATTCGCATCGGAACTGAAGATAATCATGATCCTTTAACGACACATCTGTGCGTTCATAAACAATTCACATCGAGCTATAACCGTTGAGATGAATAGGTTAATAAAGTTACAGATAAGGGCTAAACCAGACGTGTAACTTAATGTCGTTTAAAAATAGCAGATATAAATCGCAATTCGCCGCACACGTTATTGAACGTGATGTTGGCCTTAATGCGGTCCCTAATGCTCGGTCTCACACTTCAATAGGCTGATGTAACTCGTTTAGCCGCACTCCAACAACCATTCCAAACGTTCAAATTCACACGCCGACTTCGCAAACAAAGAGATTATTGTCATTTTTTCAACGGTCGCACCTTGTAGTTTATGGCAAATTTGAGTTGACAGATAAGAATTTTTCCAAGATTTACTCCAAAAATGAGGAACGGAATTCCGTTTTATGCATATTTTTACATTAGTAGGAATTTAACAAAATTAAATTTCATCTTAAGCAATGTGACCAAAGATGGTACGTCATAATTTAGTACTAGTTCTTTCATTTGATAAAGTACTTTCGTTGTTATTGTAATTAAATTTAGTCCCTTCGTCATATTTCTTTGTTGTACGCACAAACAATTTAAGATTGATATAACGATTATCTGTGCCAATCGTTAGGTAATTCACTAGATCGCGTTATTAAAAGCAACGGACATTAATGTCGAACATTAAAAAGCTTGTATACAGAAATAAACAGCAAAGAACATACGTGTCTAATGCGCATTAGTGATGTACGTTAATGCATTGCGATAGCTGATGTAGCGACCGCAGCGCCGCGGCGGCTAACAATAAAACCGGCCGTAATAAAGTTCACACATCCCGCGCGGACTGCAAACAGAACAAAACCCTCACCTGTCCGGCCAGTTCGCGCTTACCTGAAAATAATAAAGAAAACTTATTTGAAGCTCGTGTTCGAATTTCGAAATAAATGTTTACCATATGGCATAACAAAATCGATTAGATATTAAAAAAAATTGCACAAATGCCCTTTGAGACATCAATCGACCTTTGACATTTGGTGTTGCAATAAACAATGATATAAGAGAAATTCTGTCAAAACATCTTATACTCGTGTATTCGTGTATTTAAATAAAGAAATGCTGTTTTTTATGTGTATCTCAAAATAAATAAACTAATAAAAACAACAATAAAAACACTTTTAAAATGTAACATCAAATTTGTACCTACTTAAATTATAAAATCGAATTTAATTCAACATTTTCTCAGAGTCATGTTCGAAATCAAATCAAACGGGCACTCGGGTTGGAATCGTGCATTTGGATTTATTTGTCGATCGTCTGTCATTGTGAATTGAACCCTAAAACGAGTTGAACAAGAATATAAATTGTCTGTCCGCTGTGAACAGACTTTGTATTCGTGTACTGAAGCGTGAGCAATCTAAAACGGCGAGTGTGCACAGTATACGGGGAGCTCGATTCGCGTGGCTTCTAACGTAGAAAATAAAAACGGGTCGCAAACGTTGGTGCTGGCGAGCGGGCCGTGGATTGTGCATTCCTATTGTATCCCGCGCTACCGAATGTCTATGACAAATAGTGACGCTAAAGGGCAGGCACTCGATTGTCTGGGGCTTGAATTGACAATCGAATGTTATTTATACTGGCCGTGTTTAAATCGACGCATAATTTACTAACTGACTACTCTTATTTTTGTACTGAAAAGCCAAATATTGTGGTTAATCCACTAGTCGTAGTTTGTGAAGAATTTTTAATAGTCATAATTTTTCCTACCTATACAGTAATTAAGGGTTGACGTTTTCTCCAACATTTGCGTTTCACTGATATACCAAGCATATAAAATATGACATAAACTATTGCAACGAATAAATTTTGAAAACGGTAGATAGAAAGTAAAACTTATTTCTCGACTATGAATTAAAATATTTGGGGTATTACAAAAATAAATGGACGTTTAATTCTTAATTGGTTTAAATTATTATATGTCGTATCGAACAACTTTTTTTCAATTGACCGGTTTTTTGCCAGCCATTTATTGCAAGTAAAAACAAAATATATCTCCGTATAACAAATTAAAAAATGATATCTACTATTTTGTATATGGATTACCATAAGTATTTTGTATTTAGGTAATACAGATATTTAAATTGAATTTTAATAATATAAGCATGATTTATTAATGTGTAAATAATTTATCTCACTTCCTGTTTATTTGTTATCAAAGATATTCGATAAGATAGTACCGTTTTATTGGCATTCCCAATAAGGTCTAAACATTGTCGTATTTTGTAGATTTTTCGTTGGGATTTGAACTGTTTTTTGTTAAAACAAATGTATGCAAATGTTATATCTTTTTCCAAGTGTCTATTCACAAACTTTCACTAACTGATCAGCAACAGGAATTATTATTCGCAATTTTTATCTTACATGCGCTTTCAATGTAGCAAATACAATTTATAATGATTTACGAGCAAATGTCAGATAGCAGATTAATTTATTATCCAACGGCCAGGTATAGCTGAATTCGTATATTAAATTAAATTGTACATTATGATTAATTTAGTATTAATTTATGTGTTTTTACTTTATTAATTTATTTATGTACGTAAATCTTGATTAAAAAGGAATATGGCCACTAACAAACATTTAAAAAAAGTTAACTATTTTTTATTAACATCGTCCATTACATTTGTATCTAGGACCACCAGGAGAGCATGAATAGAGTAGCGGTGAACTGGGAGGCGGCCGGCCGCAGCGCGCCAATTACAGCTGCGCGTCAACACTGATTTACGAGTACGATATAATGTCCGCGCGATGCCTTCACATTGTTTAAATGCCTCGCGTCGGATGAAATCCGCTCATCGTTCGTTGTACTTCTGTGAGCTCTTTATTCACATTCATTTTAAACCGTTGGCAATTCATGTTATACTGGTAGGTGATCTCCCCTATTAATTACGCAGCAGTTTTTTCATATAAGAACGGGCGCATAATGATGTAATTCATCATGACGACTAAATCTTTAGGAGGGGGAAAGTCCTCACAATTTGTTGAGTTGGCAAATGTTCATCAATCAGTGGAGCTACACCGTTATTGAGTCGAACGGTTATTTGGCAAGACCGACATGGTAATTAGTTGTTCAAACAAGTCAAAATAGCACTAATTAATAGGAACATAAAAAACGACTGTTTATGATAAATAAAGTATTAACACTGCTATTTCTTGTTTTAGATATACAAATGTTAATTTGATTATGTCAAAACGATCGATCGCTTCATTAGTGAAAAATTAATTATTCACGAAATGTTAATAACACATGTGTTAAAACAAAATTACAATAGTGTGTAACAAATTGTGACTTAACCCATAAAGTAAATCATCAAATTGTTTTTGTGTTCATACATCGATTATTCAATCTCTAATCGAGATGAATAATCGGAATATCGTTGTTTCAATAACCGTATATTTTAGTGATGCTCCGATGCCCGGCATTTAAAAGTTAATTACGTATAATTATCGATGCAACTACACGTTATTTAGTTTTTATAAGCTTCCCTGCGGGCGTAAATGGATGTCGGCTCGTAATTAAGTGCTTAATTTAAAAATTAACGATGCGAACTGGTTCTATAATAAAAAATAAAGAACGCCTCAGCTTCGACGTAAAGTCGTCTTGGGAATAATTTACAAGGCGGTGTTGGTACGATCGCCATTCGTGAGCAGAATGAACATCGGATAAAAAAAATATCAAAACACTGCGACCGTTGTATATCGTAAAAGATTTAGAAATAAGATTATTTTTAACGGAGACATGTGTATTGGTAAAATATGTACAGAAAAAGACATAGAAAATACGATCACATCGACAATGTGTTATAATTTCAAATAATTTAAATTCTTTTTTTTTTATAATGGCTTGAGACCTAAAAACATGTCAAAACTCCTTGAACAACCGTTCTGCAACCATAGCCGTATTAATAATATTACAAATGTGGTTACATAAATTTCCATTTACCATACACTGCTTTTATTATTTTTTGACATACACTTCATCAATATTAAAAAAACTAGCTTTCGCTCGCGACTCCGTCCGCGTAGGATTAAAAAAACAAAAGATGGTAGCCTATGTGTTCTTCCAGACTATCCTCTACATCTATACCAAATTTCATCGAAAACCGTTCAGTCGTTAAGGCTACAAACTCTAACAAACATCCATCCATCTAAACATTTGCATTTATAATATTAGTATGAAGTAGGATTCTAATGTCACATAATGCTCTATATTCAGGAGCATTAAGAAAGTATTTATAAAGCAAACACAAGCACAATTTAATTAATCAGAGTCATATACTCATGATTAATTTAATTTCTCCACACGGAGTTGATCTGTGTTATTCACATCTGGAAGCTGGCCACAAAACCACTAAGCAAACATGACTTAAGTATTCCACTGCCAAATAAATATTTCAGTCCCAAGAAATAAATTAATTCAAATATAAAAACGTAATTATACATTCAACCGAACATCAAAGTGATTTTGTTTGCACGAAAAGTATTTTATTTCAATCATCTGCTAAAAATACATATTCTACTACATATTCTATTCTATACATCATTCATCGCGCGGCTAGTACAGTGAAT